TTGATTTTCTCATTACAAATCATCCTATCTCATAACAGATTATTTTCTTAAGGTTCTTTATTTCATTGATGATCTTTACTTCTACCAGCTTAGAATTGTCTATGCGAGATTCATATTAGTTATCTCCTCAACTGTTATTAATTGAATTTCATTGCAGTTGCTCCTCAATAGAGATAATGTCAGACAGATTGTATTGAACTTGAGTATCCTTGTGCGTTGATGTCATTAACAGCAAAATAATGTATTATTATTTGAAATAACATTAAAAATGATTAAATTTTTATAGTCGATTATTCACTTGAGAATAAACCATTCTTGACTGATGTTAAACATTTTATTTTAAAATTAACATAAGTTTAATTATCGAATGAAGGATTATTGGCGTTAGTTCTCTTTATTTTTCTGATTACTACTATTTATGAATTTAATCATAATTCTTTGAATAAATAGTTAAGTTTTTATGTGAACGAACTGTCATAAACAAATTTATATATTAAAATACTCTTAATGAAAGTTTGCATGTGTGTTTAAATTGTAGTCATAAACATGCACCCTGTGGTACCAAAGTTAATTGATTTACTAAGTAATTCTACATTTTATGCCATTCATTTTTTCTTCATTATTATCATAATGTTCTTTAGCATAAAACAATGGAAAGAAACCATTTATTAAAATAACAATTATTAAAGATTTGTAGTATGTATTAAACATGAAACATTATTTTCTATGTTTATGTCGATTTTTTTTTTATAGCTACAAAGAATAGATGTATTCTCGCTGAATTATTGAAAAAACAAAGTGATTAAAAAATAATAAAAAAAATAAAACGCTACTTAAGAAATTATAAAAGTTCGCGGACGGATCAATTTATTAAGCCTCAAGTTCTGACAGTCTTTTCCATCTCCCTCTTCTTAATTTTCTTCCTTTCGTGGATAAGTAATTGCAGGTCACGACCACCAGACAAGACAGATCATGACGGATTATCCTCGCGACTAAAAAGTTATAGCAGTATAAAAATTTAGTCTTCAAGTGGAAAAAAAACTTTTACTTTTTAGCAAAATTCTCGGAGAAAAAAATCATATCAACTACTGCTATTAGAGCTTTATACCTTTGATTAAACAACATTATACTGATAAAAAAAACAGTCAATATTAAATGCTTAGAGTGTATATGAATAAAAAATAAAAGAAAAACAACGAGGGGAAACATAAACTGTAGTTTATGAATAGTATTTAAAGAATTAACTTTTTAAAAGTTCCTAAATATCCTTCTAACATGGAAAGCAGATCAATAAAATTTTTTTTACAACAAAGAACCTACGTAATGACTTAATCGTTTTTCTTACTATTTATTCAAATTGATGAGATAAAAATAAAAAAATGAAAATATTTTTTCAGAAAAATTTATTATTATGGAGGATAATCTAACCGTTCGTTATTTTCGCAGTAAAAAAGAATAAATATTTAATGAAAAATAATCAACCGAAAGGTGATATGTTGAGAAGGTCGAATAACCAGAACGTTGACCCTATCCATGCAATGGCTGACCACGGGTGGCGCTTTACTACTTAACATACTCTGTTTACCATCAACGAAGCAAAAGTCACCTCGTGTTCACCTCTGGTGGTTATAAACTATGTGAAATACTGCTTCCTTGCACTGCCGATTGTATCAGCGACACTGCGAGGAGTTGACCTCGTTTTTTAATGGTATAACGATAGAAAAAACTAGCCTTTAGGCGCCGACGAGATTCCACACTGTTGACAATTTGATGTTGTCACTGAAAATATATTAAAGTTTTGATGAAAATCAACTTTATCTAACTCTTCTCTACAATCTTAACTATTTTATCTATGTTTACATACGTTTTTCAAAGTTATGTTGGCTTATTTTATTTTGTTTTTACAATATTATTACATTGTAAAAAGTTTTAATTCAATTTTCTGATTCTTCTTGTGCACGAAAAAGAATATTCAGTTGTAAAAATCTCGATTTCTTTTAAAAATAATTTGTAAGGCCAGTAAACTGTTTTTACTTGAAAAAAATGTAAGAAAAGTTTATTTCAATTTAAAAGTAATTTTTATTCGGTATCTGTTAATAAAAAAACTATTTAAGGAAACCAACAATATTTATTTTGTAAATTGTGCTTAAATATTAATATAGAAAAGCTCAATATTTATAAAATATAATTTCTTGTAAATATTTTACGTATATCAGATTTTTTTTTTTTTTGAAATTTGACTAGTACAGATTAATTAAAAATGATTGATCGAAATGTTATGTTGATGAATAAAAAATTATTTTTTTCACATCTGATCGTTTTTAATAATAATCCGACCTGACATGACGATGATCCAAAAAACAACATACAACGAGTGATCCTATGTTCAATATCGAATTTTTCCGATAAAAGTAGGAATTTATAAGCATTGGATGTTACATCATTTTAAATGTTAAATTCATTGTATTAAAAAAAAAAAAAAATGTAAAACTGATCCTAAAAAGAAAAAAATCCGTGGATGAGAAGAATTAAGATTTTATATTTTTTTAGAAATGGGAACATTTAGCGAAGGAGTAAGGGGTGAAATGATATGTTATAAGGTATGGTAGTCGAGTGTATTTTAGCACAGTAATCCCTGAAAATGCCAAGAGACAAACATTAAATCCTCTTTTCTTTCTTAGGGCGTGGACATATTATGTCCGAACAAGCATTCTATCGGGTATCTTTGTAAGCTCGAACTTGACCTATATTCACATCGAAAGCTTTGACCTATCAATATCACGTTGTTATGGTTTCTCCTCTTTTGAGTGAGTTTGTGAGGCATTAAAACGTTCCTTGGGGCGGAGTTCCCTAATGTAAAGTCTATTATATGATAATCGATAAGATGAGAATTCCTTTTTGAATAACATGACGACAATTGAGGTAGTCTTTTCACATAATGAACAATCTAATAGAAAATATTTTCGTGCTATTGTCTTTTTTTATCTATCAAGTTTTTCATTTTCTTCCTGAAAAAAGATGAAAGCTTATTAGAAAAATTTCTTTCATAACTAAATTGACAGATTTATTTATGAAAAAAAATGTTCGATAAAAGAAGCTTTGTTTATGAAATAAATGAAATTCTTCTAATAAAATCTATAGACCGTGGAAAAATCAATCTACTAAAGGGTTACTAATAAGAAAAAAAAGATTATTCGATTGTATTTCACACGTTGCTGTGATTCATGAAATTTTTTTCATACTTCTTTTGTTTCATACGACACTTTTTATGTAGTGTGGCTTTTCTTTAACCAGCATTTCTTCATCTCGGTTTTCGCTAAATATTGCGGGTCACGTCGCACTCTCGATGCTATTGTCGTCGTGGTCGTTAAATCCCTGTGCCGCAACCGCACAATATAAAGCTTTTTTCTCCGTTTACTACCATTTCAACGATGAGTTCCAGATACCTCAGTTTAAGTCATGGAAAGACTTCGACTAGTGAATTTGTATTTTTATTCAAGCTATGAGTATTTTTCAATAATATAAAGATTTAGAAAAATTTCATGGGAAAAGAGTTAGGAAAACTTTAATCAATAATACTGATCTGGCTCATAATAATGGAACATGAAAAAAAGGATTGAGTACAATTTTCCCTACAAGATGGTAAAATTTTTCCCTCTACTCTTTTGTACACGCAGAAAATATTTTTACTAAATTTAAAACCCAAAAATGACAAGTGTACTTTTTGAAGTAAAAATATTTCTCTCCAACAGTAAATTTTAAATTCTTGTGAGTAAACTTTATACTTGAAAGGTGTTTTAATAAAATTATTACTGACAATAACTCAAAAATTCACTGTTCAACAAAAATATTTGTAATTCTATTTTTTCAAAAGTAAATTTACTTGTCATTTTTTACTTACGGTTAGTGCAAAAATTATTTCCATGTAAGGGAAATTTGACCATCTTGCAGGATAAATTTTACTATATATCTGAGTTACCCTGAACTTCAGGCTAATTTTTATTTAATCCTTTTTTCCGTGAATTTTTAGATATTTTTTAAAAACTATCTAAGTAACTTGGGATTCATTTATATCAATAAACTTGATAGTTCATCTCATTTCTCTTCATTTTAATTAATAGAACGCATTGTTCTGTATTAATGATAATTATTTTAAATTTAAATAATTCTTTATCTCATAAAAATACCTCATAACACATTAAATCATAAATATCATTAGAAAATCTGTCTTTAAAATTCAGAGTAATAGTAACGTGTTTTCAAAGTTGCAAACTACTCTCAATTATAATATAGTGATCAATGTTGTATAAACTATGTCTTCTACTTATTACATGTTTGACCATCTCCTACCAATATATATCTAACCATTCCTTAGTTCTCTCGAGATTTATGACCGGAATTTCTGGTTCCTTGCGTAGAGCTTCGATGTAAATCTACATTCGACAAAATTTACCAGACGGCTCAAAGTGCTCCAGAGGGAAATGCCCTCGATGTTTTATGGAGTGTGGTATTTTCCCGGAAGAAAGAGCTATTCAAATGACCTATAAGCTTATGAACAATACCATCTCTTTTCGTATAGATTTTACTCGTTATTCAAACTTATCCTAAAGACAATTCATGTACATACTCTTATTTCAAGTATTAGCAAACAATAACCATTCCAAATTATTCTTATCTAGAAGTAATTTCAAGTTTTTACGCTCTTATTAATAACTATTATCATAAATATCTCATTGATTCTTTCTTTTTTATTATTAAAAATTTTCGAATTTTTTTTTAATCCGATTTCACAATTCATTCAAGCAAAAAAAAAAATTCTTTAGATATTGATCCTATTCATTCCAGAATAACAACTAAACTCGTTACAGTTCAAAAAAAATCAATCTAACAAAATTTGAAAACAAATCGCAAACAAGAATTTAGACCATTCGAAAATTCTCCAATCGACCTAAAAATTAACAAAGCGAGAGTAAACAAAAAAAAACAATTTTTTTTTACAGAACCTTGTGAAAAAACATACTGTGCTTGGGGTGCAACGTGTATCGTTTCCGAAACAGGAAGTGCAGTTTGCCAGTGCCCTTTCAATTGTCCGAAGAACCGTGAACCCGTATGTGGTACCGATGACGTAACATACGAGAATCAGTGCCAGCTGCGGCAAGCAAGTTGCAACGATCGAAAGAACACGAGAGTCAAGCATCAAGGTGAATGTGGTAAGTCCAAGGATCTTGTTAAATCCCCTTTCTGTGTGACATTGGACGTGATAATTCCTTCGAGATCACTTTAACTTGCTCAGCTAAAATCTCTCGAGTGTCTTCATCACTAGATACTGTTAAGAGTATTGCTCTCAAGGATCAGTCATAAAGACGTGATAACAATATTTAAAATTCGACTTTTTTTACCTAAAAAAAAACCAATGATATTTTTATTGCAAATGGCATATTTCTATCCTTATATTCAAGTCATATTTTAAGTGATCAATAGTTTATTACTCACTAAAAGAGCACGTAGGGTATTATTGCAAGTAAGATAAAAAAAAATCCTGCTAAAAATGAAATGACAAAGTGTCGTGGATGCTTGGCATGTTTCACAAGAACGTGCTGAGAATTCTTGAGGGTAGATCTCAATAAAATGTCAACGACTGAACAAAAAGAATATGCTTGAACGGAAGTAGTGGCCAAGAACAGAATGAAAAAAGATAAAGGGAAATAGTTGTGGTAAAATATATCGATAACGTGTATTACATTAGTATTTTCGATGAACTGTTTATTTTTAAAATCGTAAATAATATTAATATTTCATAAGATAATGACCAGATGATATGATATAAATAACAAATTGAGCATTTATAAATAAGTAATTACTTTATGGAGCTTTGAGGGATTTTACCAAGAGTGAAGTTTACGAATAAATCTTCCAAAGGCTTTCGTTCTCACTCTACTAAATTCAACGTGAGTTTTAATGCTATGAATTAACCAATAAGCGATACCAGTCATGAGATTTACTCCAAAAAAGGATCTCTCATGTACCTTGGGAAATTCCCCAAATCATCTTTTATTCAACAGAAAACGTTGTATCGAGTAGTAAGTCAATGAGACTAGATTCTAGTTACTCTTAATGTCATTTATCACTTAGAAAATTATCATCCTTAACAGGCAGTATACCGAGAAAAATCATGCAATAAATTCAGTGATAGAGTTTTATTGAATTTTTTGTAGTAATTTTCACTTCATTATTCATAAAATTTATTTTTTCTCCTTCAAAGTCATCCAAGATAATTTAATACGACTTGCGAGTATTACAGACTGCATGATGTATATTCCTCGGCAATGGTAATTGATAAGACAGAGACGTGATAATTAATTGTCATTTATCTAAGTTGTTCTCATGTTGATGCTTGAAGCAAAACAATTTTGACAACTAATATTACTATGAAACTTGTTTGAGAATAGTACGTGATTATTGAGACAGGAATCTCAATGTATTTTGGAGCTTGTTGTTGGTAAAATAATTTATTATTTAATGAAGTCAGCAAACAGCTTTAACAATATTTCATCCGTGATAATTTATTCCACAAAAATATTCGAATAATTTCAAAGGTTTTTCAACTAGAATTGGTTGCGAAAATGCCTGCAATAAATTAAAAACAATTTTTGTTTGATTGGAGTAAATCTTCCTATAAATAAAACTAAAATAAATAGCAATCAATAAAGTATATTTACTGTATTTAATTAAATTTTTTTCTCAATTTAATTAAAAAAATAAATCATTTGGTAGAAAGCATTAAAAAAGGAAAAAAAAAACAAAACGTAAATAAATAAAAAGGGAAAAAATTTAGTGTATTCATACAAACATTGGCAAAATTCAAATGTAAAATTTGAAATTTTTTTCACGTTGCGGTAGACTTTTAACACCGTGCAACTACTTCCTTTCAATTAATGCCCAGAGCACAATGAAATACACAAATGTGTGTACTTGTACGCACTAGTAAAATGGTGGAGGCATGCACGAGAGTACAAACAGTTGCAGGGGCCATTGGGCTTGCGTTCGATAAGAAGAATAATACTGGTGTAGAATAGTGTTGAACTTACCAACACAATTGAAGGTTTCAATCGGCTCTTGTTAAATAGCCAAACGTTTGCGAGGCGTAACTCCATCGACTACATGAGATTTATTGTGTGCGTATGTGAATTTGAAAATTGAGCCAATCTGAATACTAAATCTCTTACCGTTTCACAAAAACATGGCTTCAATTAAATGTAATTAGATATAGTCTTTAAAAGTACAAACATGTAATCGTTAAATTGCTGCATGTTATTCCAACAGCTACGCTATAAATTTGTGGATTTAGTGCTGAACATAGGCAATATAGCCGCATAGAGCGCTAATATCCTCATCTTTGTTGTAAGTTTTAAAGGGCGCATATACTGCAAGCTCCGTGGTATATATCAGACAATTTAATAGCTTAGTGTACACATGGCTAGTACATAAGCGTTGTCGTTCGTGGAGGAAATTATCTATGCAATGTTTGATTAGTAGAAAACTAATTAAGAGAATGAAATTTAGATTGAGGCTTTGACAAAATTTTATTAAATTAATTTCATTCTTATTATTAAAATATCCAATTCATTTGTAAATGCCTGATTACCATTAAAATTTTTTTTCATTAACTTAACTGAAAAACTTATTTGATACAGAAAATTATTTTTATGACCAACATCAATGTTAACAACAAAGGCATACACAGTTTTAAAACAACATGAACATTTTTAAATATATAAAAATACATTAAAAAAAACAATTTCCCGGGAATGGAGTATATGTTTTTTCATGTTCAAAAATTACTTTAATTTGTGAATTGGATAATTTAGAACATTACCAACACAATCAAAAAAAAAAAATTATACAGTAAACAAAATTGCTAATTAGTATTTTATTTTAGCAGTAAGTTATTTTTTTTTAATGAATAACACTATTTCGTTTGTACTCGAACGAATTTAGGTGTGTAGATATGCTACTATTGCCATCCTACGAAGTTTTTAATTATTAACTAATTTTTTCCCAACAACTAATTTATTGCATTTAATGATATTTTATTGAAGTATTCAGAGAAATAATTTATTTGCATTTTCTCTTTAAATTAAAGAATATTAAGAATTACTTTATCAGCTAAATACAAAGATTAATTTTATTAATTATTATTTATAAAAATCCATTGCATCGAAAAATATAATAATTCTTTTAAACAGTGAATATCGTATACAAAGTTATTACAGAAGCGATATTTGATTTACCTTATTGAATCAAGTGACAAAATACGATTTTATAATAAAATATCATTGGATCAAATACAACGTTTTATTGCGAATATTCTAAATTTTGTTTTTATTAATCAAATAAAAATTCTTTCTATGAAACTTTATTGTTTCTTCAATTTAATAATATAAGTTTTTCATATTTTCAAAATAAATTTTATACACACATGTACTGTTCCCATTGTACTTAAGATCATAGATTTGATTTATTAACAACTTGAAGCTTTTGTCAAAGTTATTCAATGGTTTTATATATATTAAAATAATATTATTTAAAAGCATAATCTACGAATCATCACTCCATTCATTGAAAAACATTCTGAAAAATTGACTAATGGATTAAATCTTATTTCAAACAAAGAGATTACGTAGTAGTAAATTTTTATCAGAGGAAAACGAAATAAGTCGTTTTGGATTTTTATAATTCTTCCAGTAGCTTTTCCACATTCGTGTATTATATTTTGATGGTAATACGGGGAATATCATACGCTTGACAGTAAAAAAGCTGACATCAGGTAGCTCTGCACTATGGCTGAGCTTGAAATACGAAAGAATCGAAAATCCCATCCTCCATAATTCAAACGTACGAAATGGAAACGTCGTCTAAGTACGACGTGCCGCAAAATTGGCCAGCCGACCGTCCTCAAGAGAAACCGAAGAGACGGCTGTTGGATTTTCTCACGTGAATTTTTGCAATGCACGTAAATGATTCCCTTGAAAAATTCATATCAAAATTTATCTTGAAAACTAATATAATAAATTTTCAATTAATTGTTTTCGTTTTACGGTAAAAAGTATGTCAGTTGCATTATTATATTCGTTTGAAATGTGTATGTAATGTTATCAAAATTTAATTAAATTATTTAGAAATTAACCTACATTGGAGCAAGGTTCTTTAACGTTATTACACTATCATCACCTTGAGCTTTATGTAGGAACAGCAAAAAGGAAGCTTTTCTTTGTGCGAATTTAACTTGTTCCGTGCCAAGTTAAAGAGTAAAAGCCCGTTGTGCTCTATCCATATTGCTAATTGTAAAGCAATCTACTACGTTGACAAATGGTATAAAATGATATTAATTCATTGATTTAAAGCTCTCACAGCTTTACATTTTGTTCTTTTGTTCATGTAAAGCTTTTAACGGTCAAAAAACTGTATCATTTTTTAACGGAAATTCTAACGAGAATCATGTTTTATATTTTTCAACTATTTTCCATGAAAGGCATTTGCATTTTAACTTTTTGTTATTGTTTTTTTTTATTTTCATTGCGATCAATTATATTTGATCATTGAATTGAAGCTACATCAGGACGGTTTTGTTTAATTATTATTGTAGTAATAGTAAGTCGAATATTATTGTAATTTTGATGCGTCAACATCTTTTGTCATACCGGATATTAAAATATGTCTGTTTTAGTATGTAGAAAGGAACATCTTCGGAACTTGAAATATTCACTATTTTATATTTACTTCAGTATTCCTACTTCATTCTGAATCCACCGAAGACTGCCATGCTCAGCTGCGGGTGACACTGAAATGAAAGGCATTTTGTCTTTTCTACCTCTTGAGAATTTCATTTTCATCAAATCTGCACATTTTTCAAACAATATCCACGCTGAAAATCTTTTTCTAGTAAAAATCAAAATGTTGATTTTATATTAAGTCCAATATCACGTGTTAAAATGAAGTCCAATCGACTGAGGGTTTTGGTTACTTTTCTGACAGATGTGAGCCTTCTTCTTAGGATTTGTGTAGAATCATCCTGTCAGTAGTCTACGTGGAACAAAATATTTCTCTTACAGTCAATAAATTTTAATAGAAAGAATAATTCATATAGTCATGTTAGTTTTTAATATCTTTTTGTTTAATGTCAATCTTTGCTCTGTCAGTTAATATATTT